ACAAGGCGAGCTCGTGAAGGAAACTTCCCATACATAAAAAGAAGATAGATATATTTTTGTGAAGGCGTTCTCAAGCGTCTGGGCTTTGACTTTTGACGAAGATGGATGGCTCTCCTAAGCAGTTGAATGCAGGTCCGGAGAATGGATAAAATATCCTTAATTACCTTCCTTAGGTTTAGCACGAATCGTTAGACTAAAATTAGTTTAGGATATGCTTAGTTCTCAAGTATTTATTGTTGATGGAGGTTTTAAATAATAATACTGCGTAAGTATATTATTTTTCGCATAGAAATCAATTCGAGCGTGTAAGTAATAAGATTTCATTGCTTATCATAACTATTAGATTTTATAAATCAAAGTTATAATATCAATACAGTTTTTTTATATATAATAAATTTATTAGTGCAATTAATTATTTAATAATTTTAATTCATTTGTATTAATAGTTATTTATTCTTCTAAAAACAGGGAATATCATGTCCAAATGGATGCACGAATAATCTATGGAAAGTTATGGTGGTAGTATAGGGCCTGTAAAGGAACAGAAAGGTCTACAGGGTCTCTGGGTTTTGGGCCCCCCCCTAATAACTTCCAGAACTTTAACTATTAGCGAAGATTATTTAATCAATTATTAAGATTAAAATCTAGTTAAAACAATTTCAGTTAAGTTAGAATTATGAACAATTAACTATTGTATGGAACAAAATTTAATTCTAATAAGCTTACATTAATTGTCCTATTAGTCCTAATCATAGTTTAAAAATAAATTAGTAAAAAATACCTGATCTTTATTACACACACTTAACAAAAAGTTGTAATTCATGTAGAAATTGTAAGGAACTTCTGTCATTAGAAATTACCAAACAACACAAGGAAAATACTTGTTACGCTAAAAGCCCGTGACAAGTTTGTCCCCTCTATCATGAGGGTAGTAATAAAATAATAATAATATAGTTACGAGAAGTCGTAATTAACGAGAATAAAAAAATCCGTGTTTAAAATAGCGCAGGTAGTTAATAGAATAGTGCTTCTATTGATTAAAACGTGCTCAGTAAGCTATAGAGACTCCAACTAACCGAAAGCTAGGGTCCTCCACTTAACACCTCGTTCTGTGCTTGCCTCGCGAAACATCGCGAATTTTCACACCCTGCCGTCAATACCCGTCACAAACAAACATAATTAGTACTCTTCATACGAAAGGTAGGACTTTTTCAAAAAGCTGTTTACTTTCATGAAAAACCCTTTTTATTTTTTGTAGTTTGTTTATAATGGTGGAGGACAAATAATCATGAGGACATACACCCCAGCCATATAATCTATGATGCGTTGTGAACGTACGTTGGCTTTGGATATTCGGAAATCCACTGACCAAAAACCGAGACGCGATTTAATTTAATAGTGTTACTGTGTATGGTAGCTGGTAAGTCGGACAGTATTTTCAATATTCCTATCACTCATTCAATATCCAGATTTCCAGACGAAGTCTTAACACATTGGACCAGGTGGGGGTCAAACTCACGAGCCGTTGATTATCAACCATACATTGCTACCATTAGAACAACGAGTCGCTTTTCAATCTGTTACTATCAAATTCAAACTTCGAAGTTGCCGATTTATAATACAATCTGTACTATATGCGAATGGTGGTTTAAAACGAAATACATATTGTCTCACCATGATTACAAATATCCGAAAAGAGTATTCCTACTTCAAACAGTTAAGCTAGTATATTTCGCGTTTAAAACCGTTAAGAAACAATTAACAAGTAAACGGGTGTCTATTTATTTTTGATTATTGATCAATATTACATGGTATATATGAGAATAACTAAATGTTTTAACTTAGTAACATCTTTGAATGACAGATTAAAAAAAACTCAAAATTTTAAATTCTATAAAACGCTCGCGCGTTTGAATTGCGCCAACAACAGGGCCGCCTTACCGGTCGTCCTTGCAGCATCCACTCTCGGTTTCTACAAGCTATCGATAGTACCACAACTGGACGCACACTGCCCCATAGCCTTAATAGAGCTATATAACTTGGGAGTATGTGTATGTTTTACTTTCCTTTGTGGCCAAGTCCAGTTTAAAGTGCTGCCAAATACCTACTTCTATTCTTCAGTAGAAGTCAGTAGACTAGATCTTAGAAACGTTTTCTTGCTATTTGAAGTATTTCGACCAAATTTGATTATCATAAAAATGTCTTTTGAAGAACTGTTAAGAGGTAGACAATACTGTCGCGGCCGCGGTCATTTTTTAGATTATTTAAAAAATAATAATTCTATTGTATATACTTTTTAGGTATCTTAAACCGTTATTACAGCGCACACACTTCTTAGGGACCCAATGCATTTTTTGCTAAAACAATGCCTTATTTAAATTTTTCCCTGTCCTAACCAATAACTTTCTGCACAAATTTCCAACAAGATTCAGTTAGGTACTCTCTATGTGTAAATGTAATAGTTATACACGCTAATCATATAGCTACATACATACATGATATAAAAGAAACAATTCACAAGTTTGTTTGTTTGAACGCCTCAATCTCACGAACTTGAAAACATAATTCTATTTTGGTTGGAATAATTATCGAGGAAGGCTGAACATGATGGTGCGGCCAATAAGAGCGAAGAAACAGGGGGAAATGTAAAAAAAAGGGGGAAAATTATTCATCGCTGACGGTTTTCAATGCGTGCACTGCTTATATTAGAAAAAAATGTCTTGGACAGTATATGTCTATCTTTTAAGATTACCTTACAAGAAGGACTGGACGCGGACGACGTCGTGGCTACAGTACGGTAGCAGCTAAATCTTATAAAAATGAGAAAGAGGTTTGCTTAAACAAAATTTTGGGTTTTTTTTGTAATGCAACACTGAATATAACCTTTGTTTTAAATTTCAATAACTACAATAACTAAAGGTTTAAATCGCTATATATATATATTTTAGTCGAACTTATTTGGAAATTATTTAAACTACTAACGTGGTAACGGAGAGACTGGTTTAAAATAATTTTCAAATATTTTTAAGTAACATATATCGCGTTTTAATCCATTAAAGTGTTTAATTTAGACTTTATTTTAAACTTAAGGTGCTAAAAATAAAACTAGCACCGTATCGGACATTCTTCCAAACGTCTTAAGAACTACACAATTTCCGAATTTAGTCTACGCCACAGTAATCCAGTTATTGACCTCTTCTACATATATTTTAACCGCACTTTTTGTTACAACCCGTAATAACGTGGTATTTGTAAGATTAATACACGATCTAATGCATATCATTATTTGGAGTGGTTCGACGAAAATGTTATACGTTAATATCATTGACCAGTTTATATAGACCCCTAGGTGAGCTTTTTAAACTAGAAATTAATCGGTTAGTTTAACTACGGTTTTATTGTTACTACTCAACTTTTACGAAAACAAACGAAGTGTGATAATATTACCGAGACGTTTTCAAATTAAGAAATTACTTAAAATCTATCTACCTAAAACTAAGATAAGCTACGTAACAAGGATTTTTAACAATCTCTACGCAGTTTTTCTTTAATAGCATCTTTTACATAAAATAGTTTAACGGTTTAAAACGCGGTATATATTAGTTAAACTTATTTAAAAATTATTTTGTAATGTAATGTGTACCAATTTTGTTTATTTTTATTGCAGAATAATTCTGCAGTGAAATACTGTATTAATTATACCTAAAGAGCTTTTTGGAACCGACATACCAACGCCCTCTTTTTAGTGTGTCATTCATTTTAAACCAGAACAATTCTATATTAATGTAATACTAATATCTCAACTTTACGGGCATGCTTTAATGTACAAAGTTTTTATTTGTAATATAATGAGTCAATCTTCTTTTCTCTATCTAATAAAGAGTTTATAAATTTATAGGTCAAATTATATTGGTCGAAGAAGTGAAATGTAAATAGTGTGGTCACAATATAGAACCGAATCGTGATTTGGCTTACTTTTGTGGTTCCCAATACTTTACATAATGTTTTCTAGTACGGTGAATGGCGAAATGAGGAAATATTAAGTTGTTATTCAGATCTTAAAATATAATCTGTTCTCATAAAGATACCTTTAATTACCTGTATTCAAAAACAATTTCTGACAGGCTCGTTGGTCTAATGGTAGCAAGGTATGGCTAATAATCAACGGGTCGAGGGTTCGACCACCACTGGGTCCAATATGTTTCTAAATTTCCAATTCACAATTTTTCTAAATCATATTGGGCTTCGTCTAGAAATCTGCATATGAAGTGGTTGGTAGAAATATAGAAATTCCGATAGGTTCACGACCCATCGTCCACAGATGAAAAAGTGAAGTTTAATCGCGTTTGTGCTTCACTCTGTGGATTTCCAAAGCCACATTAGAGCATCGATGAAACAAACAGCGCATCTTATTCAGGCTGAAGTGACCTACCATCAAGTAACCCTTGTCTATCCTCCTCTGTCATAAAATTTAACCATACCTATACCTACCTACCAAATTTTCTACCATGTTTCAGTGAGTATTCTGTTTCGTTCAAAGCTATGAAATATAAAAAAGAAATTCAGTTTTAAATCAATATTCCTAAAACAAATGGGGAATAGGATATGAGCAAAAAATTTCTAGAATATTCCGCATCAGATTTTCGAGCCAGCGTGTAGGACCAATACCATTCGTATCTATCATTCATTAGCACAGCTAGAATCCAATACGACATTTTTTACAATCCCCAGGCACAAAGAACGGGCGAGCACCCACACAGGAGCGGACCCGCCATACAAACAAACGCGCCAGTGTGAGTAGAGAAAAACTTGAAAAAAATGCGACTGACCTGCGCACACACGCGCGGATACCGCGAAAAAAATCACTGACACAAAGAAAGTCTACCAAAAACTTCAATACGAACTTTTGTACTCACACAGAGCGAGGCGCGCACACCTCCGTCCCATAAGGAAGTTGCCTATGTGTGAGTGAGTGCAACTCGTCATTATAAGGGCTAAACTTAGTGCTTCCGTGTGTGTGTCCTCACTGTTGCAAGAGTCCGAAACTTCAGAAGCATGCTACAGACTAAACATGCATCTCTCAAGCCAAGCGATTCTAAAGCCCAATGTATTCCGATTAAGGCCCAAATTTGAGTACTTCGCAAAGCACTTAGGACTCTTTGTAGATAAAAGAAGCTGCGCAAAGCGGGTAGTTTTCGATACCGAAGTTGAACGGGAGATGCAACGTGTGAACACATACGGTATATACAAGTATCTCGCTCGCACCACCCGCCGCCCGAAGCGGGGGTGATCCGAGGGGGTAGAGGGGGCGTCGTGTCGCGTTGATGAACATTTTTCTCATTTTTTGCATTATTTTTACGCGAATCGTTTTTAAAGGGTTTCGTCATAATTGCGAAACATCCGATTATGTTATATCCGATAATCAAACATAGATAAAGAGATTACTATTTATTAAATAACAAGTATTGCTGAAATTATCGTTCATTAAAAAAATCAACACGCAAATGAATTACCCATTTGTCTTATAAATGATCTATGTGATTCAAGGCAATTTCATGCTGTCTCACATAATTTAATTATTTTTTGTTATACAACATAAACAAACACCAATTTCCTTCAAGCTGTCTTAAGGCTGAATATAAACAAACGTAGCGTCCTCTACGCATGTCTCGAGTAAAGGCGGGAAACTTATTTTCCCGCCTTTTCCACGCGCCCACGTTTTCCGTCACAATTTTGCTTACTTGAATCCAATTAGATTATTATTGTGAAGACAAACTACACAACATTCATCGTTTTACATCTAATGGCAAAGCTATACAGCTTTTCAATAATTAAAAATTTAAACTATCGCTAAATGTTTTCATATTCCATGAAAATGTTCTTGAAAAGATTGACAGAAACGGTGATCGCATTTATGTATTGAAACGTTGATCAAGTAATGCATAATTATGAAAAGGTTGGTGCTGTTTCAGGTCCTCCCGTTTGTAGGGGGAACAAAAAAAGGCAGGCTGTGGCAGTCTCGCTGCAACCGCGGCTCGCGCCGGCCGCATCCAAACGATATCTTTTATTTTTACATTACGTATTTGGTTTCGCGTAGACTTGGACAGCGGTAGTTTCGCGGCGCGATTTGTGCTACAAAATTGTGTTTTGGACCCTAAAATGGAACAAAAAGTACATTCGGATAGAAAAACAATAATCAATTTCCCGGCAAAATTCTTTACCGCAACTTAACGCAGTTCAAACTAGAATTTATTTCATTTTTACAATTATTTCGCACTTGGCAGCAACACTTTCCGTTTGATTGGGGTTTTTGTTTTCTTTCGTTTCCAATGAAACCGACTTGAAGAAACTGTACATTTGACGAGAAGAGAAAATATTGTCGAGAGAAGATGGCGCTTGCTTCTTCCGTCAGCTTATATTATTCGATTGTTCAACGAGCTGCAAGGCACTATCTGGAAGACTACTGTCATACAGGTAAGAGTTAAATGTAGTTTTTTTTTTCAGGTAAACAATTAAATAAAAAAGGTGGCATGGAATTGAAAAGCTAAATAATTAAAATGCAAAATTTAAAATAAGTATTCAGTTATGGTGAAAATAAGACCTAGGCACTAATAAAAAAATCATTGAACATTAAATTAACGTGTTTATAATTATAAATAACAAATAAATTGTAAAATTAAAGTGTAAACAAACTTTCAAAGACTGAGGAGATACAAAAATAATCTGATAAGGAATTGTACAGAAATTAAAGATTACTACTTATTTACCACTAAATTTGTTATTATACAATTTATTTTATATACAAATCAATCTCTAATAAATTATGCACAAATAAAAAAGTTGTAAAGATTTTACTGGTGCAATAACCGCTCGGTACGTTGTCGGTCTTAGCTTCGATTCGAAGTTATAAATTTTATTCCTATTAAACGAAAAAGCGTGGATCTATCAACCCTATTGCAGCGTGGGCTAAGTTTTCAACAGGAAAGCTATAAAAGAAGTAGAACGGATACGAAGTACAATCCGTTGGTGACAATAACATTACTCTTTTTATTGTCGTCTATAAATATTTTATTCTGTAATAAAAAGGAGTTTTACAAATGCAACAGAAGTGAAAAGCGACATTTTAGTTTACAACATCCATAGTTCACTTTACAGGTGTCATATTAACATTTGGTATCAAATATATTTCACCTGAAAATAAAAATTTTCTTAGATACCATATAATTTATATTATGTGTTATTTTCAGTTTCCACGATAAATACACAAGACGTGTTTCCCCGGAGTTGAACCTAAGACCTTTTACGCTAAACGCAATGTGTTTAAACATAATTCTGTAAGGATGTGTGACTAGTTTTTAATAAGTAAAAAAATTAAGTAGTAGAGCTTAGTCTACATCAAAACAAGTAGTTTTTGATACTTGGCGTTATAAAATTTTAATTATTTCGCGTCTAAACTGCTCATTATGTAAATTACAAACAAAAACTTAAGTCTACAGTTTCCCAGTTCTACTCTCACAAATTCAATTTAACATACGTAAGTAACACGAGTAAGAAAAGACACAGATACAAAATAAATTTCTTGCATAACATATTTTGCATACTTGAACTTGTTCGTTGAATTTGGGAAGGTCTTAATGCACTTAGCGCGTTGACAGTATTATTAATTATGCGCCAATCATAATCAATAAAAGTTTTATCATTAAAATGTTATTCAAAAGTCTTACAACGCCCTTTACTCGATACGAGTACAGTCGCGAGAATAAGCGATCTCAAAATCAAACAATTAGCCAAATTAATAATAGCTACTAGAGCTACATATCGCATGCTTTTTTAATAAGAATGATTTTAAAAAAGCAATTTTTTTAACTTCTGAACTTACCTTGTATCATATCGTATTTTAAAAAAATACGTTCCTTTTAAACCATATTTTTTTATTTTATTTAAATTACAGACAATACTTATTTAAATAAAACACTTTAACGGTTTAAAACGCGATATATTAGTTAAACTTATTTGGAAATGATTTTTAAATTCGGCCCGACTTTTCGGATGCTTTGCACTGCAGCAGCCGTGGTCACGGGGAGACTAAATAAAAATCATTTCCAAATAAATTTAACTAATATATCGCGTTTTAAACCGTTAAAGTGTTTTATTTAAATGTGTACTACTCGCGTAAACTATAGACAGTATTTAGATAATACTTAAATAAGTAAGTGTAGTACACATTTAGATAACATACTTCTAATGGTTTAAAATACGAAATATATCAGTAAGAAGAACTGAAATCGTAGGTAAAACAATAAAAAATTAACAAGTTCTTTCTTCTTCTATAGAAAAATTATTTCAACTGATTATATTGCGCTTTTGAAATGGTTGGTTTATTTTAATCGTGTGTATTTTATTTTACTTATAAAAGTAAAAACATTAGCGAAAGTCGTTTTCTACATGAGTGTCCACTCAGAAACCAGTCGCGTACCGTCGCGCCGTTCAAACCAGTCGGACGATAATCGCATCGGGCGTGGTGTGCGTTTATATGCAAATGCGGTGCATCTCTCAAAGGTCAAGGTCGAGATAGTGCACTTTTGCGTGCGACTGTATCTATTCGAGCTTAACTAGGCTGCGTTTCAAGTTGCGCGCACTCACAATAATAGAATCTTTGCGTGTGCTTGTGTCGTTTTAATTGATAAAAATAATTATATCATACTACACAGTGTGATGCTTTAAGTAGAGCCCTTTTAACAGTTTAAAACGAGAAATTTACTAGTTAACACATTTTTAGGATTCAAACGGTTAAAAGTGTTTTATGTAAATAATTGAGTTTTTAATAAAAGTAACGTTTTAAACTGTAAACAGACAACATCGCAGTTTAAATTTTCGTACCATAAAAATCACGATTCTTGAAATTACCTTTCCACCAGAATCACTAGAATATCCATAGCCTGTGGTAAGTGGTCACCATAATGTGGTCCAGTGAAGCATTGTTCCGCTTCAGCCGATGGCAATCAGGTGGCAAGCTCGTTGGACAATGTTACGGTTACAATACCGTTTCTTAATTTTAGCCACCATTGGTGCTGATGATGCGGCACTTTAGACGATAGTAAATACGATAAGCTATGAAATTGTATTTAGCACGCCCAATGATAAAATAAGAAAGCTTCGCAATTTCGCTACGCTAGTAACACTTTTGGGGTTCCGTATAAGAGTAACAAGCCCTAAGCCTTATAGATAGCAATGTGTGGCTAATAAACCGGTTCGATCCCCACCGGGACCAACGTGTTTTTAATCAATTATAATTTCTCTAAAAAACGTTGGACTGGATATCTGTCACGTCACGTCACTGATAAGTCACGAACTACCGTCTATAGATGAATATGGCGTGCAATTTTAATCGCGTTTCAGATTCAATCTGTAGATTTCCAAATATCCAAAGCTGAGATGTTTTACGACTAGGGTATTTCACCCCCCATCAAGTAAATCCCATGTTTTCCTGTCCTAGCATTTCATTTAAAAAATCAAAAGGTAATATAATAAAATGTTTTTTTAAAGTGCGATAAACTACCATTTTTCATATACTAAAACTACTGATCAAAATTTATCTTAAACCAAGATAGTCGAGAATGTCACACATAAGTATTTAATTATAAAAAGAGAAAAAAATAATATTCAAAGACATAGGAACTTACTTTGTGCTAAATCTTTATAGATAACATGCCGCTAATTCGTTTAGTTTTATTTTTTCTCTAGGTAGAGAAAAAATAAAACTACCATTGGTTGCAACACGAATAACAAATAAACTACAGCGAAGAGATACGAACTTTATCGATCAAAATATTTTACGTTTAATCAGTTTAAAAGTATTTCAGTCCTAGTGCATAAACTATAAATACAAGAGAAAAAAATATTCACATTTCATTAACACTAAAGAATGTTTGGTCTAGACACTTTAGTAATATTATCATACAAAGTTATGGTCGTAAAATTTTTTTAAGTCGGTAATTTCCAGATATGTTAAACAAGTTATAAAATGAATTAATGTAGAGTTTAATTTTTATGTATATTCATTTATAACAGGAAAAGTGTACAGACGACGCAACGACGCGACAGAGAAAATATATTTGAAAACTTATTTAAAGAAACACTAACGGTTTAAAACGCAAAATATATCAGTTAAACTTCTTAACAAATTATTTTTACCTACGGTCCGACGTTTCGGATGATTTGCAGCAGTCGTGGTCACAGGGAGACTGTTGAATAATTTGTAAATAAGTTTAATTAATATATCTCGCGTTTTAAACCGTTATAGTGTTTTATTTAAATTTGTACTACTCGCGTTACAGACAGTGTATATTTCAAATTATTTTTAATTTCGTATTTTGTTAATTTCCAA